TTTGATTTAATTTTCAAAAATATGAGTTTGAAAGTATGTCACTTGACTACGAGTTTCTTTGGAAAGATCCAACCCGAGTATCCGAACCACGTTATTATAATTAAAAATTTAAGCAGATAATTTTCTTAAAAGACAAGACTAAAGAATGGTTTGGAGTATGTGTTTGTTGGAACATGTAATTTTTATAGTAGTAATAGATACTAAAATTTCTATTATATAATTAAAATACAATACTTAAAATGAGTATGACAAATGTTCGTTGTCGACATTTGTCACCTTCGTGCTCAAGGCCGTTACTGAAAAGGTGTTAATTGTGGTTGCTTAGTATAAGTGGAGAAATAGAAACAAGTATGACGTAAAGTTACAGAGATATCTTGTGTGTCTATATATATATACACGCACACACACACATATATATATATAACTGTCAAGATATTTTTAGATATTCTGTTAGTTTGGCACAACCCGAACTTGCAAATAATGCAAGGACCAACATGACCTGTGGGTTTGGTTGTACTGGACGAGATGAACCTTCGAGGGAGCTATGATTGTTAATTTATTTTGTTTCTAACTGACTCCAAAAGGAACCAGGCTACCTGAGGATTTGATGACATTGTAGTCTGTAGATTACGCGTGGAGAGAGCATCAGATCATTTTCCAACACATTTTGCTAATAAAAGAAAACATCGAGCTCAAAGTTTTCATCTTTTCACATCGAAACTTTAAAACAAAATCGAAATTTTATGCGTTAAAACGAGATTTTGCACATTGGGATTAACGTTCAGTAAGTTAAAATAGATCGAACTCTTCTTGCACGCAATGAATTGGGAATGATCTTTGATGAAAAATTCACTATATATAGTAATTACTATATCCATAATCCAAATATCTAACCATGTATGACATTCCTTTAGGATTATCCCCTAGAATGTTATCAACTTGCCTCTTGGCTATATGTCGAAGCATTGTTGGACTAATGCTAACACTACCACAGTTCAGAGTCTGAGACAGTATTTCCAAGTAATTGGCCTGAACGAGCAAGAGGAACGAGATAAATGAGACCTCCAGGAGGGAACTCTATGTGGTAGGACGAAGACTCGGCAAAAAGTGCGCACATAAAGCTATCTGCTGATGCTTTCGATGTCTCCAATGAGTATATATTCCTTTTCAAGAATTCCTACAACAATATTAAGCAATTTTTCGCATTCAAAAAACTGGAAATTTTTTCACCATGTCATAAATATATCGATATTAACCTTCGATGCTAGGACGTTTAGACCGGCATGCTTGTTGCCCCGTCAGAATTCGTTAATGTTGTCATCTGCACCTCATGTTCTGCCATTTTCCTGTATGTAATTGAGGTAAGAGTCACACCTTGAGAAGCTCTCCTTAGCCATGCTGCACCACACAAAAATTCATCCTGTCAATTAAAATTTATATAACCAATTAGATTGCTTGAACAACTTGATAAGGTACTCCGATATAGCAATAGAATTCACAACATAGTACAAGGATTAATTTAGTAATGTACATAAAAGCAGAATGTTTGGCAAAATATAATTGCCTGGTATCCATCAAAATCGAAGTAAAATCTATAATATTCAAGTTATCGGTCTAAGCCTCTCGATAACTATCTGCAAATTCAAAAAACCCGAATAGAAGTTCTCTAAAGTGTCTCAGCGGCAGCGTATCTGAGATCAGATTATCAGAATGCAATGGACGCCACAGCCAGAGCTGCTGCAGTCTCCCCTACGACATCAGAAGCCGTATTTGGAGCATCAACAGTGTCCATATCTTCTGGTCTCTCCAAGAGTTATGGTCTAAAAATTGGATCCCTTAACATTCCAAACAAATTTAAGGTCCAAAGTTCAAATATAAAACTAGTGATAAAAAAAAAAAAAAAAAAAAAGTACAGTAGCTTGATGGAAAGAAGAAATTGTTTGTAAAAGTGATTTAAAAATGAAAAATGTTACTCAACCACATTGTTTGACACAAAGGTTGACGCATCTCTCACAGTCGAGGTGTGGGTCCCACGCGAATAAAATAATGCCAAACTCCCATGTGTTTGTGATGTGTAAACCTTGTGTCAACCGATGTGGTCATGTAGCACGGCCCAAAATGAAAAATGCTGAACTTTAAGAATAGGGAGTGGCTGCTAAACTTTCTGCACAAATAAGAGGTGCGCAAAGAGAGAGTACTCTTTTTAGGACAATGCTACATGTGCATAATTTTTTTACCTAATCCTTTACCTACTACTCATAACAGGGAATAGGAACCACATTTGGGAATTTTTATAATCACGCGTGCATTGTGAGAGGTGGCAACTTTCAGTACATTATATTTGGTACAAATAGAATTATTTTTCTTTTTAACCCAAGAAATGTAAATGTGCAGGAATATAACTTTTTTCTAGCTTTAATTTATTTATGTTTTTTGTTCTGTTACACTTTCATATTGAGGGATGGAAACTTGGGCTACCTTCTTTTGTAAAGGTACATTATGCTGATACTCTTCTCTTATTTATCAAGCGAGGGTTTCGTCTCAAAAAATTAAAGACTTATTTGTCAAGTTAACCACCAGCAAGTTAGAGAAGAGAATCTTCAGTGGGGTGGGCACACCAATGTCAAGTTAACCACTAACAAGTTAGAGGAGAGAATCTTTAGTGGGACGGGCGCACCATCCCAGTGGGGCGGGCACACCATCTGTGTGAGGAGCCACCTGCAAGGTGGTTCAACCTGATAGGGCGGTCACACCACGTGTGAAGTTTCTTTCCAGTTAGAGATGTGCAAAAGAATCGCAACTAAAAAGTAAAAATCGTTCAATTCTGATATGGATCGATTCTGGTACCCAAAATAGAGAATCGGTTCTGATCCAACTTTTCTTTCTTGAATCTTGAGGCTGGTACATGCAGTTAACCCATTTTTCATTTTCCTTCTTTACACGACAATAAGCCCAATATTTTTTATTTCTTTAAAGCCACGATAAACCCAATTTAATTTAAAGCACGCATCAGAACCTTTTTCACACTTCTTCAAGCTTCAAATCACTAATGTTTACACCCAAATTTTGTCTTCATCTAATGAGACTGTGTTTAATTTAGGATGGGACCAATAGTTCTATTATAAGATAATCATTAGCTCTGAAGTTGGTTCGAATTGAAAACCACTCTCCTCTACAACAAGCCACAAGTCTTTCTACAAAGTTTAGTCGCCAAGAATAAAGTTCATGTTTGGCAAAGCTTAAGAAAATTCACATATAAGTTAATAAATAATTTTTTTTTATTAATTAATGTTCAGAACAATAATAATAATAATAATAATAATAATAATAATAATAATAATAATAATAATAATAATAATAATAATAATAATAATAATAATAATAATAATAATAATAATAATAATAATAATAATAATAATAATAATAATAATAATAATAATAATAATAATAATAATAATAATAATAATAATAATAATAATAAGGCAAAAACCACAAAAATATTTGCAACTGACAATTTTCAATTTTCTCAGAGTTCTCAAAAGCATATAGACTTTCAGAGTAATAAATTGTTCCAATAGTCATTGAACTTAAATCAATGTCTTTGATTGATCACTAAAATTTAAAATGTCAAGTTTTAGTCACTGAACTTGGGCATATGTCTTCGATTACTCACCAAAGCTTAAAATGTCGAGTTTTAACCACTGAATTTTGAAAAAATGCTGTATATTATTCACTGTAAACTTGATATTTTTTAAAGTTTAACAGTTATGTTAGTGAGTAACGTACGATATTTTTTCAAAGTTCAGTGGTTAAAACTCGACATTTTAAAAATTCTAAACTTATCATTTTATTTGGTCAAAATTGGTCAAATTAACTTTTCTTAGTCAATCAACAGTCAAATGAACGATTTGGATACCAAGTGCTAATTTCTCTACGGTTTGAAATCTCCACTAACACAAAGTGCAGGGTAAAATAAAGTTTGCAAAAAAAAACCAAAGAATTGGAACCACTGCCAAAAATTTTCCCTAAAGAAAGAGGAAATTCAAGTTAATCTTATGTTACAAGTCCATTGCCTTGTAAACTCCAATTTGCACGGTAAGGCCGACAGTATAACACTAAACAAGATTAAGAAAATAAAAAACAAATTGAAATCTTTTCCATGGTATCATAGTATTGTCCAATCAAGTCCAGTTCCATGTACCCCCCCTTGCCCTAAAGAACTCTTAGGGATGTAAACCTTTGAAAATGAATAGCAGGTCCTATTATCATTAACCCACCCACAATCGAGAAAATCACAAAATTTCACACATCATGCAACATTTATGGCACCGAACACGGGCTGTTAAGTATTCCATAATGAACGAGCTTAGTTGAAAATAGTACAATCATAACAATTTTCCAAGAACTAAGTCAAGATTTGCCGAGTTCAAACCTTAAAATCACTCTAAAAGATGAAAACAACAATCTCACTTCAAATAACAAAACAAGTAAGGAATGAGCCACATATCTCATCCGTTTTTAATACCTTCTAGGAAAGCGGTCCATGAACCTCCCAGAAGGACACTCGAATGCCATGTGTCCTCTTCCCCCACAGTTATGACATATAGCCATTGCAATACAATCACGACTCATATGCCCTATCTGGTTGCAGTTCCGACACACAATGTCTCGGTATCCACCTCCACGAAACCCACCCCTCTCTTCAAGGATATTGCCCTTTGTGCACTCTCTAGCCACGTGGCCAGATATATTGCACAAATTGCAGACAGGATCATTCTGACAATCACGGGCGAGATGACCTGGTTTCCTACAATTCTTGCAGGCCTTGTCATTTGTACAATCAGCCGCCATATGGCCTTGCTTAAAGCAGTTATTGCACAGCCTCAGATCACCAGGTGGCAATGGTGGAGCAGTGCAATCCCTTGCACGGTGTCCTGCCTTACCACAAGTATGGCAGATTCCCTCATTAGGACAATTTCCAGCCATATGGCCAGGTTCTCGACAGTTCCAGCAAAGAGATTTCGTCGTGCATTCTGATGCAATATGCCTGATTTAATTTAAGAAGAAACAAAAGCAAAGACAAAAAGGTAAACATTAATCCTCAATACACTTGGAGTACAGTTTGTGCTGGGAAACATAAAATCATTAAAAGGAAAAAAGAATTGCTACAATAGATGAACATAGCTCAAAAGGATTCGAAGAACTCTTACCCAGGAAGACCACAATTGTGACAGATTGCCACATTAGGGCATTCTCTGGCAAAATGACCGGGCCTTTTGCAGTTATTGCACAGAGTACTCTGACTGCAAAGAACATCGTACTAAAACTGTTAATATCCCAGTATATCACCAGAAGAGAGCAAAATATTATTAAAAAATGTAAGATATCATAAAGGCCGTTAAGCAGAAAGTATACCAGAGCAGCAACTCAACAACAATATAATACTTTGAAAACAATGATAACAAATTTCCAGACTTTTTCCTTTATTAATTTTTTTTATTTTACAAGAGATGGGAGGAGAAACAGAACTATGAAGATTTATTCCAGATCCAAGCATGAACTTAAAAATATAACCTAAAGCGAGGTAAGGCATCAGATCTGTTCCCATTTCAGATAATATCCCACACATCAATTATTTTCTTCTTCCCAACCAACATGTACAATTTCCAGGAAAGTTACAAACATGTGAATGAATTGAGACCAGATAACCTGAAACCCCGACGTGAGTCCCGTCTATATGGTGCATCACGGTAAGAATACCGTTCAGTACGCATCTTACGATCCATTGGGCTCCGGCTCCTGCTCCTGCTTCGACTTCTGCTCCGGCTCCTGTTGTCTAAGCTCATTTTCAAAACTACACCACTCTGTAAACCACCAACTACCTGGAAAAATATCACCAACACCACAGCTGCTGCCACCTCCCTGTCCACCACAACCACACCCAAAGCCACATCAGTGAGTCCACATTTTTATCCTTCATGATTTAAACACCAAATTCCCACACAACTATTACAATTTTTCAACAAACACCACCACCATACATCGGTTATAGAATTGAACACAGCACCTGCTGAATTCCCTAATTCAACAAAATACTGTCTAACCACATCCATAGCATTCAAGCATCTCATGTTATATGCATCACGTCAACTACTAACAAAGAACTTAAACAAATCGCTTTTCAGCACATGTCATACATATATATGAGAGTGATTCCATAACCTGCACACACACCCATGACAACAGTTAGAACTTGTGAATGATTTGGACGAATGGCATCCATCACACAAGTGACAAATAAATATGAAACTAAAGAAGAAAATGAACAAATTTTCCATATGCCAGGGAATCAAATGCAACGGATCATGACTGCAACAGATCATGACCAACTACACCTTTATATGAGTAAATTATACAGCGTCTGCTATTGCAAGCAGAGGTGCAAGCTTTGAATAGGTAGCTCTTCACTGTAGTATCATCAACATTTTCTACAATTTATCGTGAAAGACCTCATATAAACAAATAGAATCATTTCCATTTACGCTTTTTTCCACCACTAATGCATAGTATTATGCATGAAACAATATTTGGATATTCAATGAATATTATCTTCATTATGATTCACCAGAGCCAAAAGGTTCTAAAGAATTGACCATGTGCCGCAGTTATACTTCTACGTGTAGGATATTACAAAATTCAGATCCAACACAATCTGATCTGAGTTGGGGGAAACATAAGGACGCCATGATTCATAGGTTATCCAATTTATTTTCACAAGAAAATTCAAGAAATTTTGCCAGAAGAAACTTGTATGAGAAATGACAGAAACAAGAGACAAAAAAGCAGCAATTGTCTTATTTCCCCATCTATCGCTCCAACAACATTGCTTGTCTCTCTTGACTCTTGAGGTGATGAAACAAAAATCTCAAAACATGCCATTGACTATAAATTCACCATATATATCTGGATAAAGTCACAGAAGGTTACAACAATAAAGCAGACATTCTAAATGTACAGCTCTTCTATTTGCACCTGGAAGAATGGACTTTAGCACAATGATTTGTGTCATGTAAAACTGCTTTCTCTCAAACTGAACATTTCACGCCATATTTCTATATGTTTAGCAGTTTTAAAAAAAGGCAAAATCAAGTACTAAGGTGTTTTACCTCCCTGGGATGAGGCATGTTTGACTCACTTTAAGGCGTAAGGATAGACCTAAACCAGTAAACCATAAACTATCTAAAAATTTTATAATACCACATTTGAATAAAATTAATGCTGAACGCCCTTGAAATTTAAATTGGATCGTCAAAGTAGCAAGTGATAAATTTTTAAGGTAGTGATCACATAATAAAGCACTAAACAAATAGCACTAAAAGTATAAAACAACTGAATCAATTAACAGGCTATTTAAGAATTTTGCTTGTTATGACTTTAGAGGAAGTCAAAGATCGAAAATATTAACACAAAGATGGCAAGAAAATAAAATAAATATTAAAGTCGTGTATCACATCCTGTCACTGGGAAGTCGAAGGGTTAACGCACTTCAATTGTAGAAGGCTAGGTAATAACTCTTTGCTTCTTCTCATCTCTAATTTCCAGTTTTTTCTAGATCTCATGGTTGGTCTGTGTTTAAAATGCCCCACGACCCCTTGAGATGTCCTAGGCTAAAAAATCCTAAAAGATGAGACCAATGACAAGAAGCACAAGGTAACTGGATTCACACTCGGCTGCCTCAAGGCTTATGCCCCTCAATAAGTTAGGGAGCTATCCTCTACAAACAAAACTCAGAGTTTGAGCTTAGAGGTAATATTACATCTCTGTCACAAGCACATAACTTAATAATAGCAATTCAATAATCCATTATAGAAATAAATGTTGCAGATCAAAAAGGACCTTCTGGATGCTAAAAGACAAAATACAGAATAATGCAGGTTCAGAACAGATTCATCGTACCTGGAGTTACCAAACTTAACATCAAATGGGACTACAGTGATGGATGAGGAAGCAACTTATGAAATATGCAATAAGGCCCTTTTTAAGCCACATTATTTGAAAAAAATACATTCTTTCAATAGTAATTTGACATCATTTCAACCGCACATTCTTCAATAAAATAATATTATCCGCAAATCCAAAATTTTTCCTTATTTTTTAACCACACATCTCTACTCAACACACTGTTCAAAAATGCAATTTCATTCCAATAATGTGTATATTCCAATAAATTAGAAATTAAATATTATTCCCCACAGTAGGGAAGTATACTACTTTTTCGTTAGGAAGAAAAATCAGGACACTGATACACGGAACTCAGATCCGTAACTTGTTCTACATGCTAGTACCAAAAGACTAACACATAAGCGAAAGAAATTTATGACAAATTATGTACGGGAATAAAACCTTAGCTTACAAAATCGCTAAATCACCCGAAATCAACTGACGAAACAAGGCCGAATCATGAATATCGCGGAATCAGAAACCCTAAGAATAAAACATATGCCTCCGCCCTAAGCAGTAAATCTAGATTAATCGTAAAAATTGTAAGAAACGAGAGAGCGACCTCGAGAGACGGGTCAGTTGGACACTGGGCACCGAATGTTATGGAAAAAATTGGGGAAGGGCAGATGCGAAGTGAGAGTTAATTGTTCTACCATAAACTGAAGTTAAATTCATGTTTTTGATTGGTCATTGAAGTAGGAATGGCAGTGGGCGGGTCCAGAGTGGCGGGGTCGCGGGGTGAAGCCACGTCCCATTTATCCTCCGTTTAATTTTACTTTATTTTTTATTTTAAATTATGTTATTGTTAGAAAATAAAATATAAATTCAAAATTTTAGAATTCAAAGAAAACACTTGAAATAAACAATTTCAAATAAAATTACTTTTTGACTAAATTTTATTTCTTTTATAATTAATTAAAATTTTACATTTGTATTTTATTATCTAATATTAATATAATTTGAAAAAAAAAATTCACAGGGCGAGGTCAAGGCAGGGCACCCCCAACCTCGGCTCGCGCCCCACGACGGGGCGCCCCATCCTACCTCGCCCCGTCCCGCCAACCCATCGGGGTGGAGTTTTTTGCCCCATTCGAGGCGGCGCCCCGTGGGAGCGGGACGAATTTTTTTGCCATCACTACACTAAAATTTAAAATATCGAATTTTGATTACTAAACTTAGTCTCATGTTTTCGATTGCTTAGTAAAATTTAAAATATCGAGTTTTAACCATTGAACTTTGAAAAATGTTGTACATTACTCACTGAATTTGAAAAATATTGTACATTACTCACTGAACTTTGAAAATATTGTACATTACTCACTGTAAATTCGATATTTTTCAAAATTCAACAATTATACTAGTGAATAACGTACGACATATTCCAAAATTCGACATTTTAAATTTCAGTTAGTAATCTAAGATATGGATATGAGTTCAATAACCAAAACTCGACATTGACCTAAGTTCAGTGATCAAAACTCGACATTTTAAACTTAAGTGACCAATCAAAAATATGATCCTAAATTTAGTGACCATTAGAACAATTAACTTACGAAGCGATGGTACCTTTTAGAGTAAATTCTTCCACGATTCCCACCCTTTCAGAAGTGTGACATCTATGTCCTCAATCTTTTATGATAAAGAAGCATTCAAGATTATTTTTTTGGAAAAATTGCAGTGGTCCCTAGTTTTTGAACTTTTTGCAAATATTATCCTAAATTTCAATTTATGTCAACATAGATCCCAAACTTTTGAAAAATTAGCAATTGAGGTCCAACGGAATGATCCATTTGGCCATTAATTGATCAAAAAAGTGAATTTTAACCAATTAAAAGAAGAGTATTTTTGCCTTTTTATATTTCTTCCATAAAAATAATTCTATGACATTAAACAAAAGAAAAAAGGGGGAATCTGCCAACCTAACCCCCAACCCCACCCCTCCCCACCCCTCCGATGGGATGGAGTATTTTGGGCTGGATTTTTGTTTCATTTTTTATTTATTTTAGTTGTCAATAATTGAAAATTTGAAAAGTTACCCTTTACTCCTTTCAATTTGATCAATTAACTGTCAATTCATTTGGATGCCAGCTACTAATTTCTCAAAGTTTTGGGGACCTCTATTGGCACAAATTGAAGGTTGAAGTAGGATCTGCAAAGAATCTAAAGGATAGGGACTACTGTTGTAATTTTCCTTCTCTCTCTCTCTCTCTAACAATTACTCCTCTTTTTCATTTTTTACATTCTTATGATGTGACCTTTTACCATCTAATTAGACATATTTTTGTCCAGTTGGAGCATTTTACACACAATATCAAAAGGATAGGGACCGTATATTTATTAGTGTCGCATTTTATGGCCTTTGGGCTTTCTTAGTTTGCCCAAAACCTCTTTATTATTACATAATTTTCTTGACCGAAAATTGACACAAAAAGCTGCTGCATGGGAAATTAATGTTTTAGTAGGAATTTAATGTAATCTCAATATTAGTAGAACACATTTGATACACTGTATTAAAATAGAATAATAGAATTGAGGAGATTGAATAAAGATGAATTAGAGAGAATTATCAATTACTAAGATAAATCATAATTCCTCATGCACATAAATACGAAAGCGATAAAATCAAATTTTTCGTATATTGTACAAACGAAGTATCATATAAAGTATAGAGCCGTCTTATTTAAATATTTTCCCCAACTTTCTTCATAAGGTGGACATTCATTAAACTAAATTTAACAACATTTGTGCGTAACACAAAAAAAGTTTTTTTTTTATTTTTTTATTTCACAATTTGAAATTGAAAATGAGAATTGAGAAAGAACAAAATGTCTGTAAGATTAAGGTTTAAGTGTTAAACATAATGTTTTGTCAACCTTATAAAAATAGCTTTTGTATCTCCCATGAGAAAATTAATATCTATGAAAGATATATATCAAGGACTAGTTGTACAAAAATTTCAAAAATCAGGTAAAAAAATATAAAATGGTTTGGAAATCGAACCTAGCACATAGCTAAAACATTTATTGTTTTACCATTACACTATAAGTACTTCGTTGATATTTGGCTAACATTTGAGTGTTTAGCTTCTGATTGGTGTATATTAAAAAGGTTAATAAAAATCAAGGATAAAGTCAATAATTAATTTTAATCACGCATTAATGAAACTTGTATCAATTTTTAATGACATATTTCATCAATAAACACCAGAACAATGGCTTAATTTCCAATTTTTTTAAAATAAAAAAAAAACTCATTTATCCCCTTGAGTTTGGGTTTGAGATAAGGGAGACGAGGGCTACATTTGCCTCCCCTCAAGTCCGACACTCTGATGTAGTGTTGTGGGGTTTAGTGATTAGTGAACGAGGAGGGAAATTCCATGTGAAGTCTCAAAGACGGATGTAAACTGTTGACCCAAAAAAGCGTTGTCAACAGATGCCGGTCACACCCGCGCACACGTGGGCGAATGTCCAATACGCTAAGACACGTGGACAGTCTAAAACGAGCGGTTCATAAGGCGTAAGAGTAGCCCAACGACGCGGGACGATGACGTTAGGAATCCGACGGATTGTTCGTGATCCGATTGTACAATAATTACCAACCGGTGTTCGTCGATGTATATGTAAATGTGTATAAACTTGATTTGTATATTGCAAGTAAATGAGAGAGTTGAGTGAAGTGTAGTTCTTTATATTTATTCTTACATTAGCCTTTTGATGTTACACAAAGGAAGTATTTATAGTGATATATGTAAAATGGGAGCCCTTGGATGAGGTGGCACGTGGCCTCATCTCTTTGATTCAAACATCTTATCCTAGGTGTGGGGCTTGACTTGCTAGCTTGCTGCGCATTTATTGCTTGTGCAGAGCCTCCATACTAATGACAAGACTTGACCTTTATTTTTATGACAAACGTTCCATCAATCATTCGAATAAGATCTTTGTGTAAGCGATATCTTGGGAGAAGTGACCATGGAGGATGCTCCCTTGTGGTTCGAAGGCTCCTGCATCAGCTTCGGGGCTTCGGCCATTTCATACAATACTTCCACTTGAGGGCTTCAGCTATCTTCAACCGGTTTCAGCATCATGGCTTTGGGTCATAGGCCTCGACACGGGGACCTCGGGTACATTCACAGGTCTCGGTAAAAGGGAGCCTCGGCTAGTGGACTTCGGCTTGAAGGGCTTCGGCCATAGTCCACCTCGACGCTCTATGCCATCTCGGCTGAAGGGCCACGTGATTCGCCCTGAGTGGGCCATTGGCCCAGATAGGTTGGCCAAGTATGACAACACGCAACAATAGTCCCCTAAGTCCAAGTATAGATATTTATATCATGGTTCGAGTTAGAGATGTGTTGTTGTAGGTGAATGGTGAAGAAACCGAGGCTGTGTTGAAGGTGAGGCTGAGGTGGTTGGGAAACCGAACCTACGAGGCTTATTGGCTGAATGTTGAAGTTGAAGCCGAGGTGGTTGAGAAACCGAACTTGCGAGGTGGTTGAGAAATCGAACCTGCGAGGTGGTTAAGAAACCGAACCTGTGAGACTTGTTGGCTGAATGTTGAAGTTGAAGCCAAGGCGGTTGAGAAATCGAACCTGCAAGGCTTGTTGGCTTCATCAGCCGAGGCTCAATGGTAATGATTGTGCGTCGATAGCTGTGCCAATGATTCGATGTTTTGTGCTTGTTTTCGAGGAAAAGTGGCTGGTCCGTACAACTTCCAAGGCGCCTGTTGCCGTCAAATTAAAAATACAATTATGAGGACAGCTGGAGGTTCTAGAAGCAGACACGTTGGATGGGGTGCGTGGGAGGCATGTTTGAATCTGAGGCGTAGGTTAGAAAAATCGTTCGAATTCAACGCCTCGGATTTGATCTACAATGGAGGGTTCAGATTGACTAAGTTTCAATCTAACGGTTGGGGTTCGTCCTGGACCTCTATAAAGGATCAGAAAATCCCATTTTTTAAGACTTTTGAAACTTTGCAATTCGATTCTCTCTCAAATTCCTGAACTTTTCGGCGCCAAGGCTGCCTCTTTTTTATTTTCCGGCTTATCTCCGTTCGTCACTTCTCTTAGGTATCATTCGCAGAAAAATCTTATTTTTGTTGTGTTTATTCTGTGAAATAGAGTCCACCTCGGGTAGGGAGTTGGTGACGGTTGCGTCGTTAGATTACGAGGTCAGTCAGAGGGGGATACTGAGGCTGATAATTATGCCATGACTGAAGACCCAGTAGATTTACTGAAGAGTGGGGGCGTCTAGGGTGCCCTCAAGTATGACATGGAAGAGGTTAGAGGAGATTAGGGAGAGATACAGTGTCCGCCACACCATAGAGATGCTAGTCCCCGAGCCAAATGAACGGGCCTGCTATCCGAGGTTTGGATGCGTGGCGGTCAATGAATACCTGTTTAAGGCAGGTATGCGTCTTCCTCTGCATCCCTTTTTTAGGGTGGTGTTGAGGAATTTTATGTTGTTGTCGACCCAGGTTCTGCCAAATGGGTGGAGCCAGTTGGTCGGCTCATACTTCCTGTGGAAGGAGGTATCACTTGGGGAGGACATGCCTCTCCATGTATTTATGACTCTTTTTCAGCCTCGCATCATTGGGAAGGAGTCCAGGGGGTGGTATTATCTTACACCTTGGGGGGCTCACGCACCCT